ACACACACACACACCACGAGGCAGGACCTGTACGGGAAATTACAGACTGTATTTATTGTTCTGTGTCTGGGTTTTGTTCCTTAGACTTCACGGTTCCTGAATGGAGGTGAGCTTGCCCCACCTCCCTGACGTCATGGGCCCACAGGCCTTTCCGATGGGTTTCCAGGTTCAAAGTGCTCTGCGAAGGCTTCACAGTTTTAATACTTCCTAGATGCTCAACTGAGGCAAAGTGACGGAATGGCCCCCCACCCCCTCCCGCCAAAAACGAAAACAAAACCCCAAGCCCCTGGTAGCTGCTGCGGCAGCCATATGAAAAAATAATACAAACTCTTCTTAAAAAATAGATTACACAGAAAGAACCCAGAGGACAGAGGGACACGAGGCAGGGCAGGGTTACTCCAGCCAATGGCAGGGGCCTCAGGGGGAGGCCGGGAGGGGCGCTGAGATGAATTTGGGGGCTGGGATGCTGGTGGACACCTGCCTTGTCCACTCTGCCCAGCCGCCCTGTGCCTGGGTGTGCTCCTCCCTGTGGCTTGGGCCCAGGGACCCCTCTCCCCTCAAGGGACCCTCTCTTCACCCTAAGGTCTAGTACCTGCTTTTCAGTAAAGTGGCTTCAATCAAGAAATGAAATAGACTTAGAGCTAGGGGGCAGCTGCTGTCGGGCCCCCGGGGGCTCCCACAGAAGGCTCAGACCTTCCTCTGTGCTGGGAGTTTGGGTGTTACTAATACCTGCTGCTAGTAGCGTAGACGTTACGAATCGGGCTGCTAACCTCAAGGTCAGCAGTTCAAAACTACCAGCTGTTCTGTGGGAGAAAAATGAGGCTTCTGCTCCCATAAAGAATTACAGCCTCGGAAACCCTGTATAGGGTCACTATGAGTTGGAACCGACTCTACGGTACTTAACAACAACAACCTGGACACCCCAGGTCCTAGACTCCCCACTGGACTCCTGGAAACTTGGGGCCCTCCCACCCCCTGTCCCTGGACACACACCCTTTTCCACACCCAGCCTTTACCAGGACACGGGGCGCAGATGGAGTCATCTCCAGCCTCAGAGAGCTGCAGAAAGGTGGTGTGTACAGGTGGCTGGGGGTGGGGGGCAGACGAGGGCATGACAGACACAGTCCCCTCCAGCTCATGCAATGAGAATCGTGTGCCCCCCCCACGACAAAGGTAAGGCAGGACGAGGTGGTATGTGTACAGCCAGGCCAGCTCTGGGGCTGGGGGCAGGAAGGGCAGGGGTCATGCCCGCTGGGGTGGGGTGAGTTCCATGCCAGCCCTCTCCTGCAGAGCTGGGACCCAGTTATGGGGGGAGGTGGGGATCTGGGCGGGATAGGCTCAGTCAGGGACCTCGGGGTGGGCGGGCAGTCCACTCTCGCCGCGCCGGTAGGTCTCCCAGAAGCCCCTGTCCAACTGCTCCAGCTGCAGGCCCAGTGGCAGGTGACCGGCCAAGTGCATGCGGAGGGTCTCTAGCCATTGTTCCAGCTTCACAAAGGAGGGTCTGGGCATAGTGGATGGATGGTGGGTGTTGACTCTGCTTGGGCCAAGCCGGCTCCCATGCCGCCCCCAGACTGCCTGCCCTGCTCACCTCTTTTCAGGGTCCAGGTCACAGCAGCGCACAGTGATGGGGAAGAAGCTTGGGGGGCAGTTCGGGGGGCAGTAGCGGTCCAGGAAACCCCTCACATTGAGGCCGAAGTCCATGGTGCGGGGTAGGTAGTCAGGGTCTGCGTTCACCCGCCCGATGATCTATCCCCCACAAGGCCCCTTGATTACTCCAGGGGCCTGTGTGCCACCCAGGTGAATCTAAGGTCACGCTTGGGTTGGCTGCAGACTGACCACCTCATCCCTTTGTGGACAGCCTCCTCCCAGAGTCTCCCTGGCCGGAAGACTGAAGATTTCTTGCCTATGTGTTGGGTGTGGGGAGGGGGAGGAAGGGGGTGCCACTGGGGCCTGGTGCCATCTACTGCCCATGCCTGCACCTACCTCACACAGGACGATTCCAAAGGAAAACACGTCCACCTTCTCATCATAGCTGCGGCCTGGACAGAAACAAAGAAGAGAGTACCGGGGATCTGTCTGCTGGGTGGGTGACTGCGGCTTCAGAATGGGGCCAGAAGGCAAATGCCAACAACCTGCATGGGGTTAGGGATTCCGCTCTGCCCCCTACCCCAGCAGACCTTTGGGACACCTGGGATGAGCATGTGAGCCCTGGGAAAGGAGTTCTAGCCCTGGCTCAGGTGCCACCCACTATGCAACTCTGGAGAAGGGCCTACAAGAACCTTCTAGAAGGGGAGGGCCAGTCAGGGGAGGAGCTGTGGTCATGGAAGCAGGTGAGAAAAAGAGAAAGGTAAAGGAAGACGCCTTGAAGCTGAATGAAAGGGCCACAAGCCAAGCAGTGCAGGCGACCTCTAGAAGCTGGAAAGACAAGTGAACGGATTCTCTGTGGCGCATCTGGAAAGACTCAGTCCTGCTGACACCCACTGAGGCAGAGTTTGGCCTCCAGAGCTGAGAGAAATATATGTGAGTTGTGAGAGCAGCCACAGGACCCAGACAGGACTCAGACAGAACGCAGACAGGAACTCAGATAGAACCCAGACAGGACTCAGACAGAATGCAGACAGGAACTCAGAACCCAGACAGGACTCAGACAGAATGCAGACAGGAACTCAGAACCCAGACAGGACTCAGACAGGAAGTCAGACAGGACTCAGACAGGAAGTCAGACAGGACTCAGACAGGAAGTCAGATAGAACGCAGACAGGACCAGAACAAGAACTCAGAAAGGACCCAGACAGGACCTCAGACAGAACCCAGACAGGACTTCAGATAGAACCCAGACAGGACCTCAGACAGAACCCAGACAGGAACTCAGACAGAACCCATACAGGACCTCAGATAGTACCCAGACAGGACCTCAGACAGAACCCAGACAGGACCTCAGATAGAACCCAGACAGGACCTCAGACAGAACCCAGACAGGACCTCAGATAGAACCCAGATAGGACCTCAGATAGGACCCAGACAGGACCTCAGAAAGGACCCAGACAGGACCTCAGAAAGGACCCAGACAGGACCTCAGCTAGAACCCAGACAGGACCTCAGACAGAAACCAGACAGGACCTCGGACAGAACCCAGACAGGACCTCAGACAGAACCCAGACAGGACCTAGACAGAACCCAGACAGGACCTAGACAGAACCCAGACAGGATCTGAGATAGAACCCAGACAGGACCTGAGATAGAACCCAGACAGGACCTAGACAGAACCCAGACAGGACCTCAGAAAGGACCCAGACAGGACCTCAGATAGAACCCAGACAGGACCTCAGATAGAACCCAGACAGGACCTCAGATAGAACCCAGACAGGACCTCAGATAGAACCCAGATAGGACCTCAGACAGAACGCAGACAGGACCTCAGACAGAACCCAGACAGGACCTCAGACAGAACCCAGACAGGACCTGAGATAGAACCCAGACAGGACCTGAGATAGAACCCAGACAGGACCTCAGAAAGGACCCAGACAGGAACTCAGATAGAACCCAGACAGGACCTCAGACAGAACGCAGACAGGACCTCAGACAGAACCCAGACAGGACCTAGACAAGAACTCAAGCAGGACCCAGATAAGAACCAGCCAGGACGCTGAGTGGCACCAAGGGGCTGCAGCTCTGCCTGGGATTCAGGGCACATGTGGGCACACCCTGGGCCTTGTCCACTCACCGTTGATCATCTCAGGAGCCATCCAGTAGGGGTTGCCCACCACTGTGTAACGCTTTTTGCGATCCGTCTTCTTGAGGCTCCGCAGGGTCTCAGGCTGTGTCTTCTCGTCCACCATGAGCCGCGCCAGGCCGAAGTCGGCCACCACCACGTTCCTGTTCTGGGTGACGACAGAAGTGGGCTACCCTGAGCCGTGGTCCTGGCAGTATTGGCCCCACCAGATGCACAGCCAGCTTCCTGATCCCGCCTTCAGAGGGGTGCGGGCTGCAGACTGCTCCCTCCCCTCACGGCTCTTTTCTTATGTAGCTGCTTACAGCTGTCCGAAAACACTAGTGCTTTCCCTCCATCTATTCCCCCAGAAACCCTCCTGGTGCCCCCACTGCTCTCCCCTCTGGGAACCTCCTCAGTCCCTCACAGGGTCCTGGCTTGTGTGTGTGTGTGTGTGTTGGGGGGGGGGGGCTGTGCTCCCTCTACTCACTGCTTTGCTCACTCCCATACTAATTAACGACTTGTCTTCCCCATAACAGCCCTCCTCTGGGCCTTGACACATGCTGTTCCTGCAAGTTACCTGGCCAACTCCCACCTGAACTTCCTCTCCAGGACGGGTCTCAGCCTTGTGAACAGCCTGTGGTCCCATTATCACTTTATACCTGGCCTCCCTGACTCCTCCGCAAGAAATCCCCTCAAAGCCTCCTGCCCTGGCCCCACACCAATGCCTCCTCTGGACCCTCTAGCCATTGACTGCCATAGACGCCGAGGGAAGAGCGTCAAAGGGATGATGGAACGGCACGGTGGCAGTAACCATAGGCTCAAACACAGCAACGATCGTGAGGATGGCACAGGGTCGCTATGAGTCAGACCTCACTCGATGGCACCGAGTAACGAGTGCAGCCACATGGCCACTCTGCCCTGGACTGTTTTCTGTGACTCCTGGGCTCACAGTTCCTCACAGCTGCACATCACCTTCTCCCTCATTCAATCCTCATAAATGCCTCAGCGGTCAGTGGGGCCGGGACTGCTTTTCTCTACTCTTCCGAGGCCCAGAGGGGTTGAGCACTACGGTGGAGGCCACACAGCAAATGAATGGCTCGGTACTTTAACCCAGGTCATTGGTTGGCCTCCCAACCCTGAGGTGCTTCCCACAGGCTGTTGTCCCCTGCCCTGCACTTGCCCACTTCCTGCAAATTGGAGCGGGGAGGTGACCTGGGGGCTCTGGTTCTGGGAAGGCGCTGAAAGTGGAAGAATGGAGGCCTGGGACGTGGGTTGCTTACCTCACGGACCAAGCAGTTGTGGGAGTTGAGGTCCCGGTGGATGATGTTCATGGAATGCAGATAGGCCTGGTGGGGGAGAGGCGTGGGGGGAAGAAAGGGCAGGGACGTTGGGAGGCAACAGGGCTGAGTGGGCAGCCTAACCCGGTGCTGCCCAGCTCTGGGCTCCCACTTTCTTTCCGCCCCTCAATGAGCTGGTTGGGGCGCTTTTCCACTGCCCTCTTCTAAAACTTCCTGTGGGTTCCACGAGAGCTGCTTCTCCGTGGGCTTCCCAGGGCAGGCAGCACCAGGGCCCACTCACCATTCCTGAGGCGATGTCCTTGGCAAAGCTCACCCTCTGGCTCCAGGGGTACTGGCTGTCCTGAGGATATGTGTGTGGGGGGGAAGCACAGCTGAGGATAAACCACAGCAGCAGGCCCGGGTGGGTCAGTGGGCGGCACGTCTGCACACACAGGTGCCTGCCTGTGAGGCTGGGGGCTCAGTTGTTTGAAATGGACCCTGTAGAGTGGCTACCCAGAGCAGTGTGCGCTCCCCTCAGGGTGTCTGCCTCCCAATTTCCTTCTGGCTTTGCCCTTTCAATTCAGAATCAAGACAAGGAGTGGCCCTGCCCACTGGGCTGGTGTAGTCGTGCAGTTGTGGGGGCCCTGGGCACATAGTGGGGGGGGGGGAGGTCTGCTGTGGCTCTCACCATGCTCTTGATGATGCCCCGCAGCGTGCCCCCCTTGATGTACTCTGTGATAAAGTTGAGCCTCTTGTCCTTGTAGAGCACCCCGATGAACTTGAGCACATTGGGGTGCTCCAGACATCGCATGACCTTCACCTGGCAGGGCACACACAGGCTAGGCCTTGGGATCACACCCCCCCCACGCCCACCCAGGATGCCCTCCCTGAAAACACAAGCTCTTCTGACAACATGCCACCATGCTCCTCGGGGGTGGGGGGAGGGGGTGGGGACCTTCTGGACCTCGCAGGACTGACCTCTTTGAGGAAGGTCCTCTGTGTCTCCTCATCAAAGCGGATCAGCTCCTTCATGACCATCACCTCGCCCGTCTCCCGGTGTGTCACCTGCGTGTGGAAACCAGAGTATGGGGACTTAGTGTGGAGACGAGCTCTCCTTCAAGTCCTTCTCGTAGGGGTCCCCTCCATGAACTGCAGAGGGACACACAGCCAGCCTGGAGGATCTCACAGACTGTTCAATGAATGCTATCAATCCCACCAAGGTGTGGGACTTAACACTCCCATTTTATAGATGACGAAACTGAGGTGCAGGGAGCTTTCCTAAAAGAACCAAGGCCACTCAGCTGGCAGGGAATGGGGGCTTCTGGGACTTGACTGCTCTTTCCTTGACATCACATGGTGGTTTGACCAGGGACTCCTCTTTTGGCATGGGGATCAGGGACAGAGGTTGGGCTATGGACTACTTGGACATATGAGGGGGCTTCAAAAAGTTTGTGGAAAAATTCCATTATCTTTCAATTCCATTTTTCTGAGATTGCCAGCAAGACGGCAGAATAGGCATAGACTACACAGACACTTTGCGACAAAGACTGTTGTTATTAACTGTCATCAAATTGGTTCTGACCCATAGTGACTCTTTAGAGGGTTACTGAGGAGCAGCTAGTGAGCTTGAAACACTGACCTTGTGGTTCAAACCAACTTTGCAGTCCAGCACATTAACCCACAGAAAACCGACACAGAGGACAATCTAGGAGCCCTGAGCTTCAGAGGAAAGGTTAGAGACGTGGATTGAACACCTACTGGAAGGAGAAGCTGGGCAGGGGTGGCAAAAAGAGATGTCTGGAGAATGGACTGTTGGCTAGATGCAGCAAAGTCACCTTGAATTTCTGTGAGCCGCTTTGGGAGACAGAGACAGGTGGCGGCCTGATGGTGCAGAAAAGGTGTGAATCCCTGTTCCCTACACTGCCCTGGGTAATAGAGGTGAGAACACCTTCGTCTATACCCAGTACAGACCCTGCTATCTGGGAGTTTGGAGGCTCATGATCTGAGTCAGTGTGAGGTGGGTGCCCGCTGTGGCACTTTGGTGCTTGGGTTCAGGTGGGCTCTGCTCCAGATCTACAGAACCCACAGAGCCTGCAGGCCAGAATGAGATGAGCAGGAACCTTCATAACCAGCCACCCTGCTCCCAGCTGCCCTCTGGTACTGACAGAACTGAAACTAGCAACCGGAAGGGCCTCCATGAACTACTTCCGGGTTGAGTGCCCTGAACACAGATAACACCTAGGTCTATAAGACTTCATCTAGAGCTGGGGACTCAACCAGTGTTGCAGACCGTGTAAGACTAGTCAGAGGTTCGAGGCCCTCTAGGGCTGAATGTAACAAATGAGGCCACTGGCAGTTAATGGAAAATTGCTTTCATCTTAATATTCAGGTATATATATTAAATTAATACACTGGAGCCTTTGAAAATCCACAGATAAATGTGATATTTTCCTAAAGCCAAGAC